AGGTTTCAACAACACTCTCCCAGTACACCATAAGGTTTGAACAACACTCTCTCAGTACACCATAAGGTTTGAACAACACTCTCCTAGTACACCATAAGGTTTAACAACACTTTCTTAGTACAACAGAAGATTTTAACAACACTTTCAGTACACCATAAGGTTTGAACGACACTCTCCCAGTACACCATAAGGTTTGAACGACACTCTCCCAGTACACCATAAGGTTTGAACGACACTCTCCCAGTACACCATAAGGTTTGAACAACATTTTCCCAGTACACCATAAGGTTTGAATGACACTCTCCTCATGAACCAGAAGATTTGAACAACACTTTCCTAGTACACCATAAGGTTTGAACAACACTTTCCTAGTACAACAGAAGGTTTGAACGACACTTTCCTAGTACAACAGAAGGTTTGAACGACACTTTCCTAGTACAACAGGTTTGAACAACACTTTCCTAGTACAACAGAAGGTTTGAATGACACTTTCCTAGTACACCATAAGGTTTGAATGACACTTTCCTAGTACACCATAAGGTTTGAATGACACTCTCCCAGTACACCATAAGGTTTGAATGACACTTTCCCAGTACACCATAAGGTTTGAAGGAACACTCTTCTCATAAACCAGAAGATTTGAACAACACTCTCCTAGTACAGCATAAGGTTCGAACAACATTCTCTCAGTACACTATCCTAGATTGAAGAACACTATTCTAGTACGTCAAAAAGTTTGAGCAACACTCCTTTTACACAAGAGGGTTTGAACAACCGTCTCCCAATACACCAGAGGTTTTGAATAACACTCTTCTAGAATACAAGAGTGTTTGAACAACAATGTCCTAGTACAAAAGAGGCTTTTAACAAGTCTCCCAATAAAACAGAAGGTTTGAACAATACCCTCCTAGTGCACCAGAGGGTTTGAAAACCAGTATTCTAGAATATCATGATTTAAGCCACATTTCACTTATCGTCTTCTACTAAGAACCTTAATCGTATACAAAATAAATGCACTTATTAAATGTTCTCACTCATGTTCTCCTCATAATAACTAAACAAAAAAGCTTTTTTAGGTAATACATAGACATCTATTTTAATTCTGAAGGGACAATACCATCGAACACAGACACTGTACATTAAACTGTTATTGCTCCACTGAAGTATTCCTGACATCTATAATCTATAGAACATTTGAAGTTCACTATTTTACACTTTTTTTATTTTGTTACAAGTTTTACAGCTACAAAATAAAATGTTTACTCTTTTTTTTATATATATATATTACAGTGTAAATAATTCTAGTAATTTATCTAAAATTTATCATTTCTTAAAAGAAATGGTGACAATTTCACTTTGATAAACCTGAATAACTCCACTACCAAAGCTCCAAGGTTCATTTACTTAATATTTACAAGATCAATTTCAGTCAGAGAAAGATACTTTTCTTTTACTCATCAGATCACACAAAATATAAATTCATAAGACGAAAATATCAAATGAAAAAAAAACTTAAACAAATCTGTAAAAGGCATTGAAAGTCATTTTGTTCTTGCTCTCTATAAAACATTTCTAGAAGAAGAGAGAAAGCATATCTCTGTAAGTCTTGTAGGAATTATTATTCAAATATATATATATATATAATGACACCAAAACTGTGAGAATGTTAAATTTTACAAATAAAACATTTTTTTAGGAAAATATTTCACTATTATTCTTTATGTTAATAAATGAAACTGGTACATCACTGAGACTAGTATGTTAAACAGTGTTTAATATTGACATTTTTTTCACATTTAAAGAAACGCACTGACCCTAACTGCTTGAGAAAACAATGACTGTTGTTTTTTTTTTCCCCGATATGTAACATTAATGTTTTCAATGTTTTTCTCAGTTCAGAATTTTATGCGTCTGAAAGTGTACAATCAACCTAAAACAATAGATTGTGAAATTCTTAAAAAATGAAAAACTACAAAACTTTGAAATAAACAGTAAACTTCTTGGAATATAGAAAATTTTATGACTAGTTATCAATGATAAAGACAAAAGAAATGAACTTGTTCAGTGACTAGATAAAATGTAACGGACTAATGAGTATGTACAAGATAAACCACCTCTCCCATCCTCTAAAATATTCTACAAGAGAAATAATGTAATAAACACTTCTCTCTCTCTCTCTCTCTCTCTATGGACAAACAAAAGCTACATATTGAGCAAAGTTCGTAGAGGTTTATTACATGGAAGAAATATGTCACAAAGCTTCAATACTTGTTTACATCCTGCTTGTTTTTGATTCTTCCACAATCGAGCAAGTATACAAAGTTTTGCCATCAGACAATTAGCAACATCCTGGTCAAGTAACGAATGACATTAGTGTCAAACGGGAATAGCAAGCTACCCAAATAAAAACATGTGCTGTTTAGTTCTGTTACTATTGAAACATCGACACACTAAAAGTTAAACTAAAGTTAAGAGCAGGCCACTACCGCAACATTAACGATACTGTATAACAACAACAACAACAAAGCACCTTTCAACAAGCGTTGTGAGAATGGCAGGAAAGTTGTGAGCACACAACAAAACATTACAAAACACTGGTTAACAACATTCTCTCTGACTGTATATCACACTGCTGTTACCCGAAACACCGTCTGTCCAGGAGATGCACCTTTATCACTCTTCTCATCTAAATCACTTTTACCTACTTCTTCTTTTGGAGCTTCATCACCCGAATGTCTGTCCACTAACAAGTCTTTCTTAGGTGGTGTTAGTGGGATCATACTGGCGAACCTCCTTTCACCCCGCTGGAAGGGACCCTTATGTCGAAGGTTTATAGTATCAAATGAGGATTCTAAAATACAAACCATCCATTAAAAAAACACTTTTTCAATTGGAAAGAGTTGGATGCTTTAGCTTGAATTTAACCGACCAGCCACATGCACCCCTCACTAACCCACTAGTAGTCACTATCCAAACCCCATACAACCCTCATTAACCCACTGGTAGTCACTATCCAAACCCCATACAACCCTCATTAACCCACTGGTAGTCACTATCCAAACCCCATACAACCCTCATTAACCCACTGGTAGTCACTATCCAAACCCCATACAACCCTCATTTACCCACTGGTAGTCACTATCCAAACCCCATACACCCCTCACTAACCCAGTGGTAGTCACTATCCAAACCCCATACATCCCTCATTAACCCATGTAGTCCTTATCCAAACCCAATACAACCCTTGTTTACCCACTGGTAGTCACTCTCCAAACCCCATACATCCCTCATTAACCCACGTAGTCACTATCCAAACCTCAAACAACCCTCATTAACCCACTGGTAGTCCCTCTCCAAACCCCATACAACCTTCATTTACCCACTGGTAGTCACTATCCAAACCCCATACAACCCTCATCAGCCCACTGGTAGTCACTATCCAAACCCCATACAACCCTCATTAACCCACTGGTAGTCACTATCCACACCCCATACAACCCTCATTAACCCACTGGTAGTCACTATCCAAACCCCATACAACCCTCATCAGCCCACTGGTAGTCACTATCCAAACCCCATACAACCCTCATCAGCCCACTGGTAGTCACTATCCAAACCCCATACAACCCTCATTAACCTGCCATTAGATAAGTTAATAAAACAGTCTCTCATGATAAGGCTTTTCAGAATTGCCGACAAAAAGATAACACATCTTTAACATTAATTAACTACTTAAGACTTTTCTTAATCAATACCAGACACTAAGCTACTAAAGTACAGGAGATTAATGAGGATTTTACTGATGAGATAAATGTAGTTACAGATCATCCATTTCACAAATTACACACACACGCACATTACCTCGTTTCTGATGACACTAACAGGATAAATCCAAAGAAAAAAGTTTAGAGCTTCAAGACCTGTTCACATTTTCTCTGCATATATACACATATGTGAATAAAACGTTGGTATTTCATATATTATTATCTTAACGCTAAAGCCTTCTTCTGGCTCTTGGCTGCTTTAAATCTATAATATTCATCAAAATATAAATCCACTAATATATTTAGTTAAGCCTTCTTGTTCTATTGGCCATCAAGCACTGGGAATAGGCTTAAAAACCAATCACACACAATAAGTTGTATTATTAACTGTTTAAAAACCCTGGATCAAATAAAATTAAACTGAATATTTTCCAAATAGTTCCTAAATATTCTCAATAATTCAATAAAGCTATGCATCATGTCCAACTTTTGTTTATATTGTTATTCTTATATATATATTAACAATTAACATTTGTACCCACATAATAAACATTTCCCATTAATTAATCAAGTTGTCAAATGCTATGTCACTTAACAATTTTTAATAATAAAGAACAATAATGACACAAACTATTTAGTTTCATTCTTGGGAAATTAATTTAGTTCAAATTATAACTAAAGTAATAGGATTAATTTTTTTTTCCCCCAACTTGCCTAGAAAAAATCTATTCACATTTCATCAATTAGGCAAACCCTGTCAGAGAACTGTTGAGGAATGTGTTATGATAGAACTGACTAGACTTGAATATGAAAAACAAAACAGTACTTAGATGTTTAGATGTAAAAACATGTTCAGACGGTTTACAACATGAATAATATAGTAAAAAAACACCACATTGATAGGTAAACAGTCTGAAAAGAACAACAGTTAAATACCTTTTTACTCTTCGTAAAAATAAGTAAACGCATGTAAGTTCACAGGCATTCTCTCATCAC